ACTACCACTACCATACTACTACTACTACTACTACTACTACTACTACTACTACCACTACTACTACTACTACGACTACGACTACGACTACGACTACGACTACTACGACGACTACTCGACTACGACTACGACTACGAAGTACGACGTCTACTACCACGACTACAACTACGACTGCCATTGCCACTCTACAGCTACTGCTACTGCTACCACTGATGCTGCTGATGATGAATAATGCTAATGATACGACTATGAGTGACGAGAACTTTTACTGTGGAGGCAGAAGTAGTTCCCATTGGTCATCATCTGCATTTTGGCTGTAATTGTTGGTGGGAGCTCTCCTGCGAGTGTTTTTGTACAACTGCGATGCATGGGTTTATGACATGGCAAGACGATGTTCTTACCAGAAGGACCAGCGGGTGGTGATCGACTTCACATGGCTATTTTGGTTTCGCTCCATAGAAGGCTTCGCCCAAGCAAGCTTTGAGTCAATCATGTTACACCGCTGTGGAATTTCTAGTTGCTCCCAGGTCCAATTTCACACGTCTTTGGGCGGAACAGTCCAGGGTTTGCTGAGAAGTTGTCTTGTTGTGAAGAGCCGCATGTTGACGAACAGCGCGTCAACTCTTGGTTCGCGGACAGGCTTGTGAAATTGAAAAAATCCTCGAGTTTCAAAGACACTTTTAGATTAGATCCTTCTAGCTAGACCGCATTTCTTGCTGAGAAGTGTTTGTCATATGGAGTTTCGCTGCTGGCTACTGACAGCCCCGCAACCCGATGACATTATTCTGTCTCTGCGCAGTTTTCTTCCTGGCAAGCGGCAGACCACTTGGATGTCCTGGATGATAGGTGCAAAGATGGGTTCAGGCAGTGTTACTGGAAGCGCGTGAGGTGTCTTGCCACTCTGACTTTGTACAGAAGCTGCCGCCTCAGTTGTGCCTTCATGCTTGAAGGTCTAAAACGGGGCCATCATTTCTGTTGCTCGCAGAGGATTTCAAGGTCACGTTGCCTTCTGTTTCTAGCGCAATAGCAATAAGAGTGCTGATGTTGAGATGCTTGATATATACAGGGACAAGCAAGAGGGTTCCGGGTGCATGGCACACTGTACGAAGAAGGCACGGGTGCGCATTGGAGAGGAGCATGTGCCAGGTTCCAGTCAAGGGGTCTGCTTACCCCCTCTTTGGGTCAGGGATCACGGCTGTTGTGTCTGTTGTGCGTGAATCTATGGGTTTATGCTTTAGGGTTGGTGTTTCCTTGCAGGACCCAGACAAAGCTTGTCGCAATGCTACCGGCGTTTACCTGTCCTTGACCTCCGAATGCGCACCGATCTTTACAAATTTTGTTGCTGTAAACATTCGTCTGTTTGCAGAAGGGCAAGCATCATCTTACCGCGACCTTAGGTACACCTTGCCTTGGTTTGTGTTTGATTTTCTGCCCTCACTTGTAAGCATGCGTATGCATGTAGAGAGGTGCTATGTACGTAAGCATGCACATAGACCTGTATGTCCATGTATTAGTATAGGAGTATAGGAGAGAGAGAGCGATAGAGAGAGAGAGAGAGATAGAGAGAGAGAGAGAGAGCGAGAGAGAGAGAGAGAGAGAGAGCGAGACAGAGAGACAGAGAGAGCAGAAGTTCCAGACGAGCATGACGTGGCATTGCGATGACTCGTTTATCTTCTACGACTCTACGCTTTGGGGATATGAGCTTATACCGCTACCCAGCTTTGGTGAATGCGACTTTACCTGCGCACATTTACACTTGTGCTTACTATCGTCTCTGGGTGGTTATGCATGCATCTGTTTATCATACGCACATACCTCCTGGCTTTCTGACATAGGCGAGAGACCAGAAATCATTGTTTCAATTTCCGGAATGCCTTGGCAGTGCAGAGACCTGTATCAGTTTCGCGCTATTCCTTAAGCCCTACACCTTATACACCCCTAAACCCTTACTCCCCAAAAAATTAAACCGTGACCCAAATCCTGGAATCCGAACCTGTAGGATTTCGCGAAATATGCGAAGTAGCATACCTTTCTTATGTCACTTCGCAACCTCCCGTCCCAAACCCTAAATCCATCTTCGCGCAAAGAACTCAAGCAGCACGCAGATCCTCACCTTAAGCCCCAGACCCGGAAATTTCGATCATGCCGCGCCTGGAGTGTCCGAGTGTGAGCGCCGAAACCCTCAACCCAAGCCGGTTTAGGGTTTAGGGTTTTGGGTTTAGGGTTTAGGGTTTAGTTTAGGGCGGAAAGCATCGAGTGAGAAGCCCTCAACCCCGTAACCCCAATGCTCTCTAAGCCCCAAACCTTCACCCCTATGTGCCTTTAGACTCCCTACAGCTACGAGGCCCCTTACCAAAATCCACCAATCCCTGTAGGCCGTATAATAAAACCCTGAACCCACTAAGCACGTCTCAAAACCCAGCCTAAACTGCAAATCCAGAATCCTCCACAGCCAAAAATCTGTTTTAGTTCCCCGTAACAAGATTTGACCCAGAACCCCTGAACCCTCACGCCTAAGCCCTCCAAGGCCCAACTCCAAAACCTACAGCCTGAAACCTAAAACCCAAACGCCGACTGAACATCGTGGTGCCCAAAAGCATCAAGCTAAAGCTTCTTGATAACGGTGGTTTAGCATTCCTTATTTTTTTTCATTATCTTAGCAGTATAACATGCTAATCTATCGGCGCTAGTTTCAGGTCCAGCCTGGAGCCCGACTGGATATTCGAGTGCCACAGTCATCGCTCCTTTGATCCGAACTTTGAGCCGAATTTCCGACTTTCGGATCCGGAGTAATGGGGTGTCAGGTTTCTCGTGCGAGATGAAGGCCCAAGGTCAACATCTGCTTGATAGGATCTTGTTACGTGCTGCTGCTAGCAAGCAACAGAGTCTGTCTATCTATTTAATAAACTTACCTACTCGATATATCTGTCTATCTGGCTATCCATCTAAAGCTAATGTGTGTGTACCACCCTGAAGCTAAGGGACCAAGAGACAAATTGCAGGGGGGGCAGTGCTGACAGTCACTGCCTAACGAAGACACTGCCAGCGCATGGTGATGTCTGGCCTGATCAGCCTGACGTACCTGCGATTTGTTTTCTATGTGGCAAGGGGCTAAGCCAAGAATCCCAATTCCGAGTGATTCGGTTGCTAACCCGATATATGACTTGGTCATATCATGCGCCAATCCATGTGTGTGTGCGTGTGTGTGTTTGTGTCTGTAGGTGCGCTCAGGTGACTGTTGGTGTGTATGTACTTGTTTGCTTGGAGTGTGTGCGTGTTGGCATACACATACTTTTTTAGAATTGCTCCGAATTGCGAATCTGCTTCGCCTGACCGGTCGATTGGAAGCATCACTACCATGAACCCTTATTCCTGGTGTAACGCTGCGACATCGGTAATGCTGCTGACATGAAAACCGTTCTATACCCGATAACCTTAAACCCCAAAAGTTTCCCGAAGCCGAATAGGTGATAGGAGCAGTCATTCATGTCAACCACAGGCCTTCTGCGAAGCCTCGTTGATCGGAGCCTAAGGCTTTCTGCGCTTCGGAGCTCCAACAGACAGAGCTGGAGTTCCAACAGAGCAAGAGAGTGACGCATTGAAGGCTTCTGGGCGAATTTCGGTTTGGCCTTGCTGTAAACATGGGGCTTAGATACCATAGGCTGTAGCAGGTGGGTCTGCGGCACTGAGGGTTTTTTGGTGGGCGTGGTTTCGCTTCTCATTGGTTTTTGCTTTCGACCTTACAGCACGCAGGGATCCTCCTATGACAACATGCCTTCGGCAGCATGAAAGCAGAAGCCATGAGCAGCTATTCGTCCAAGGGCCATTGCTGCATTGGGTGCGATTGTTCAGAAACTCGTAGTTGCTTCATTTCGCCAGGCAGCACGTGCGTCTGTGGCAGCTGTCGAGGACACCATGAAGCTTCTTAATCTTGTGGAACCACCTGCAAGAGGATTTATCCGAGTGAAGGCTCGTGCGGTCTCGTATGTTCCATGTTTTGCAAACGGGTGTATGTTTCTTATATACATATATATATATATATTAATGTATGTACATGTATATGTATATGTATATGTATATGTATATGTATATGTATATGTATATGTATATGTATATGTATGTGTATGTGTGTATGCATGTATATATATATATATATCATGTATTTACGTACATGCGATTATACGTGCGCATACATACCGAGAGGGTAGCAAAGACCCTTATGTTTCCACGAACTTAAGGGCCTTCGACCACAGCTTCTGTGGTGAGCGTTCGATCTCGGGTTTAATGCCAGTGCATGTTGCAGGTACATTTGATTGTAAAGATGAGCCGCTGCAAAAAGTAACAAGACTTCATATTATTGGTTCTGTCCGGGCAATGGGCAAGCATGAGCCAGATGCACATCAGAGAATTGTAGTCGTAGTCGCTATCATCCGAGTTGCACTAGTTAGTCCAAGTAGTCTTTGCAGATGGTAAGCATGAGTCGCGGATACAGTTGTCGTACGTGTAATGGTCGTGCCCGGGGTTGTCGTCGTTTCGTCGCCGTGTAGACGTAGCAGTGGCAACAGCAGCAAGAGCAGCATGTGCCAAAGAGTTCGTAGGCATCGCAGTCGTGGCGGCAGCAGGAATAGTAGTAGTAGTAGTTGTTGTTGTTGTAGTAGTAGTAGTAGTAGTCGCAGCAGGAGCAGTAGCATCAAGTTGCGGAAGTAGCAGTAGCAGTAGTAGGGGCAGTAGCATTTGCAGCAGCAGCAGCAGCAGCAACAACAACAACAACAACAACAACAACAACAACGGCAACGGCAACGGCAACGGCAACGGCAACAGCAACAGCAACAGCAACAGCAACAGCAACAACAGCAGCAGCA